CAGTATAATTTTAAAAAGTGAAGCAAAATAAATCTGAATTTTGTCTTCTCTGTTCCTGTTCACTTTATTGAATTAAACAGACAGAATTAAACAGAGCAACACTCCCAAACACTCAAGACAGGTATGGTTTGCAGAGATGATCGTGCATATCAGATGGCTATCCCATTATCAAAGAGCCTATCACATCATTCAGTTTTTCCAACTAGCTTTGTCTACTTACGAAAGAAAATCTGAACAATATTTGAGCTTCTACAACATGGGTTCCCAACCTGGGATGCCTGCAGGGTGAGATGGAATTTCAAGGGGTTCAAAAAAGAGTGGTTTATGTCCCTTAGTGACAAGTCACAAATCACAATTAATTTTGTTGGGGTTGTGAACATTAATCAAACATTTTTCCAAGGGTGTGGGGCATAGAAAAGGTTGCGAACCATCCTTCTACAGAGTGAAAAAGTCTATCAAATCTCCAAACGGCCATGAAAATATTCTGAAGTGATTCAAAGGCATTTTATTTAACTCAGTGCCTCCAGTCAATGCACAAATTCAATTTAAAGTCTGTGAAAGGGATAATTTGATTAAATCACATCCAAATCAAATAGCATCTTTGGAGCTGCATACGACCCTACTAAATAGACCTAAGAGTTGATCCAGCACAGGCTTCATCCTCTCCTCATCCTAAGAAGTCAATTCTGAGTTGAACTGATTTATAGTTTAACTTAACAGAGCATGCTCTAACCTTTGAGACTGAGGCTACTGGAATGTATACATGAGCCACATCTGGAGGAGTAGTGATTTTTCTGCTTCTTATAAAGAGGCATGGGGTGGGGTGGTGGCTCAGTGGTTAAGATGCTAGGCTCGTGGGCTGGAAGACTAGTAGCCCAGGTTCAAGACCCAAGAACCACACAACAGGGTGAGCTCCGTCCTCACCCAACTCCTGCCAAGCTAGCAGTTCAAAAGCATGCAAATACAAGTAGATAAATAGGTACCACTTTGATGGGAATGTCACAGCACTCCATGACATCATGCTGGCCACATGGAAATACCTTCAGACAGCGGTGGCTCAATGGCACCACACCTCCCCCTTCTCTCCCCCCCCCCCCCTCCGCAATGACTAGTGGAGTAAAATCCACAGGGATTCCTTTGTAAGAGGCATATTGAGTAACATGAGCACCCTCATCTGTAAACTGATGTAAATTCTGGACCTGTCTTAATTTTAGTTTCTGTTATTTCTGAGACTTGGAAGACAGAATAACATTTGCACTTGTAATTAAGAAAGATAATAAAATATTGTATTGTTCTCCTCCTCTTCCTCCTCTTCTCTTCCCCTCGCTCTCTCTCTCTCTCTCTCTCTCTCTCTTTCTTTTAGAATTGACTCGTCATCCCCCAATTTTGTTTTTAATTATAGATTGTTCTTCCTTTTTTCCAAGGGTGGGGCAGTTTATAGAAAGACTGTCTTCTGAAGTGATGAGTTAGAGAATGAGGCAGGAGCCCTTGCCAAAGCATACCACGACTATTAATTCAAGCATGATGAAATTGTTCATTTTAACTATAATCATGTAATTCATCAAAATATTACTGGAGCATATCATTCTGTGCTATTACACTGATATAGCACCTTCTTCCACCTCTGCCAAAAGCAGGAAATGGCTTTTTCTATGCTTATCTACACAAAAGCAATTGAAATTGGGAGCTTATAACAATGAACAACAATTTCAAACATATTTTAAGGGTTTGTGTGCTGCTACTATTGCTGCTCGGCTGATTGTCCCTAATAACAAAATACTGGAGAACAAAACAAATTTCCACTTTTTAGGAAGGGGTATTGCAGCAGGGATACCTATTCAAGGAGATTGTGAAATAGTAGCTGCAAATTCTAAAGTATATTCGGAGAGCTTGCCTACAGATGTTGAGTCCTGAAAAAGTCTAGTTGTATTGAAGTTAAACAGTGGCAGACTGCTCTTCTATAACACTGAAGGAAATAGTACATGTATGCACAAAGACAAATAAAAAAAAAGAGGTACAGGTGGGACCACCTATATTTATACCTGCAAAAAAATTCTTCAAGGAAAATGACTGTGCAGTAAACTAACTTTCCAAGCTGTCCCACATTTCTATCATGAGAGAAGAAGACTTTCTGAGGATGTTACAGTTCTGAGAAGATAAGAACGGTCCCGAAGGGGACCTGCTTCATATCAGTTGTAGCACAACTGGAAATTACCATTCATCATAAGGATAGAATAAATTACTTAGCAAACATATTCCCTGTATGCTTCTTTATTACTATGTTTTTTTTTTATTTGTTTGTTAATATCCCACCTCTATTATTTTTACAGATAACCCAAGACAGTGAAATATTCAAAACACCTTCCTCCTCTTATTTTCCCCACAACAGCCCTGTGAGGTGAGTTGGGCTGAGAGAGTCTGCCTGGCCCAAGGTCACCCAGCCAGTTTCATGCCTAAAGCGGAACTATAACTCCCAATCTCCCACTTTCTAATCTGGCACCTTTGCCACCAGACCAAACTGGCTCTCTATTTGTTATATATGAAATATTTATAGTAATTTATTATTGTAATGGGTTCCGCAATCAGTCAAATGTTTTGGGATTGCACACAAGGGACCTATTACTATTGGTACAATCTTTGCTTCTTTTGCCACATTCACATTTTGATCTACTACTGCCTTCGATGTTAAGTTGGCATATGCATATTGAACTTCCAATATTCCGAGTCATTTTAGCATTGGTATTTGTTATTTCTGTTATTTCTGCTGTTTCTGCTAGTTTTTTGGAACTTAAAAGGTCCTTAAAAGGACCGTGGGGTTGTGTGTGAAGCCAGGAGATCCTCACGGATGTCTGGCTACCAGTCCGTCTGTTACTCATTTAGCACCACCCAGGAGGCACGTGTGACTTAAGGATTGTCACGGACGCAAGTAAGTTCTTAGTCACATACTCCCCCCACACTTACGATGACAAGAAGCTCTCATTCAAGAGTATAGTAAGATCCTGTTAAATTCCTCTCTACCCATACATGGATACATTCCTGATCTCTTAAGATGCCGATTAAAGTCAAGAAATCCACCAATCTTGACAGCGCGTAAATTGATGGCCGATCATCAGAACACCACACAAAAGTGGATGGAGGCGTGGAATAGCTGTTCCCCCCAAGGTGTCTCTGAGCATATCAGTCCTAGTAGTATACCTCCAGGATTTAGCCTACCCCGACACATATGGGTGACATATAATAGAATTAGAACAACTCATGGGGTATGTGCTGACTCCCTGTATAAATGGGGAAAGACACCTTCAGCACAATGTGATTGCAGGGCCCCTCGACAGACTATCCAGCACATAGTGAGGGAATGCCCTAACAGAAGGTATCCAGGAGATTCTAGGGACTTCCTCTGCATAACAACGGCAGCTACTGACTGGATCTCCAAACTCGACATTAAACTTTGAAATGTTATTTCTGTTTTCCTTTTAGGTTTTCTTACTGCTTTTTTATTGTTTTAATTGTTTTTAACCTGTAAAACTGAAGTGTTTTAATGCTGTGTGTGACCAGCCATACACTAAATAAATAAATTGCCACATTCAGCTTCTATTTGCAAGTCTTTGTATTTTGTCATTTTCTCCAGTTTTTTCTCTTCTCTTCCTCTGTCTTCAGGTACCACAATATCCACTATCCAGACTTTTTTGTCTTTCTTCTTAACAATTGTTAAGTCTGGAGTGTTATGTGGAAGGTCCTGGTCTGTTTAAATTCTAAGATCCCAAAGCATTTTAGCTTCTTCAAATTCTATTATTATCTGTTTTATTCATTAAACATGAAACTCAAGTCAGCTGAACATTTAAAATGTGTCACAAATACTACTGACGGGTGCTAATGGTTGATACGAATTGCTGCCAGCGTCCTAGGTATCAACCAAGTATCTTCGTAAAATATATGATGATCCGAGTAGCGCAGTTTTTTTCAGTTCCGCTGGTGTTAAAGCTGCAATTTCTTGATGTGTTTTGTAAAATACTTGGACATGGTACCAACTGCCCCGATGACAATGGGTATCACTGTTACATGTTTCATCCATAGCCGTGTAGTTTCGATGGCCAGGTCGCGATATTTCATAACTTTTTCCAGGTCCTTTTCTTCAACTCGGGCATCTCCCGTTACAGCGATATCAATAAACTGTATGCTTTGGCCCTTGACAACCATGATATCTGGTGTGTTATGTTCCAAATGACAATCTGTCTGTATTTGAAAGTCCCACAAGATCTTCACCATCTCATTTTCAGTAACTTTTCCCACTTTTTGCTCCCATGACTTTTCGGATACAGTATGTCATATTTTTTACATAATGACCAGTGGACTAATTTAGCAACTCAATCATTTTGGAATCCGTTTGCGCAATTTGCTTCACTCACATATTAAGTGTGAAACAGTTTCAACTTTGTCGTTGCAAAGTCAGCAGTTTGGATTGTCAGTGGATTTTTGCATCTTTGCTTTCATGGCATTAGTTTGTAGTGCTTGTTCTTGAGCAGCAACTATTAAACCTTCTGTTTCTTTCTTGATGGTTCCTCGCTTAAGCCATGCCCATGTCAAGTTGTTATCACATTTTCCTTCAATGTTTTTCAAGTGCTGTCCATGCAGAGCTTTGGTTTTCCATCCATTTAATCTGTCATCCAACTGTTTTTCCTTATATTCTGCCTTTGTTTCTGTTGTTTTTATAATGTTCTCCATTTTCACAGCCTGCAGCAATCTTTTTCCACTTTTTCCACTTTATGTTCCCATGACTTTTCAGATACAGGTAAGTCATATTTTTTACATAATGACCAGTGGATTAATTTAGCAATTTGGTCATGATGATGACAATGACGATGACGATGATGATGATGATGATGATGATGATGATGATGATATTTGATTTCTATAGCCATCCCTTTCAACCAAGTGACTCTGGGCGGTTTAAAATTCCAAAATTCTAAAACAGTTAAAACAGAAGCTTTACTAATAGTAAAGCCAAGTTATAGGGCCACTACCATGTTCCAAGTCGCAGGCCCAAATTCATAGTCAAGTTTTTGGAGCGTGTCAGAAAAACTGACAAGTTGAGGCCATTCTAATCTCCAAAGGAAGAATATCCATAAGGCAGAGGCTACAGCAGGAAACAACAGTCTTCTAGTTTCCACCAATCAATACACTTTGGCTGGCAGGATCTGCAGCATGTTCAGTCTGCTGGATCTGATTTCTGGTAGAAACCAGTGGTGAAATCTAAAATTTGTTACTACCGGTTCTGTGGGTGTGGCTTGGTGGGGAGGTAATGTGACTGGGTGGGCGTGGCCATTTTTTTTTTAACTTTTAAAACTATTTTTTCTACAACCTCTTTGGTGAAGAGGTTGTTAAAAAATGCTTTCAAAAGGCTCTGACAATCAGGCAACTCAGCTTGGATCGTCAGAGGCATTTAAAAGAAAAAAAAAGGGTTTTTTTCTTTTAAAAGCCTTTGATGATCCCAGCTGAGCCGCGTGATCATCAGAGGCTTTTTTTTTACTTTTAAAAGCATTTTTTCGGCTGAAGAGGTTGTAGAAAAAATGCTTTTAAAAGTAAAAAAAAAAAGCCTCTGATGATTGTGCAGCTCAGCTGGGCATGGGGGGAAGGCAGGGATTTTTGCTACCAGTTCTCCGAACCACCCGCCTCCATCGCTACCGAATTGGGCAATCCAGTCCGAATCGGGAGCATTTCACCCCTGGTAGAAAAATGGTCCTTTAGGTAACCCAATCCCAAGCCATGCAGGGCTTTAAAGGGGTCCACCATCTTGAATTGCATTTGGAAACACACTGGCAGCCAGTGCAGCTCATAGAGTAGTGGTGTTACATGTACCATATAGTCAGTACCATTTATTACCTGCCCAGCCACATTTTGTACTAGTTGAAGTTTCCACACACATTTTACCTATTTTATGGTCTCAACAGTTCTTGCTTACAGGTAAAGGGTATGTGTTTGCTATGGATTTTCCAATGCACCATTGTTACTGTTTTGTCATGCTGTTCTTTGTAGTTGGCCTGTGTGATCTCCTTGAAGCAGCTAAGTCGTTCACTGTTTCTTCAGCTTCTTGCAGAGGCAGCATTTGCTGTTTTCTCAATTTTGGCTTTGTATGCATTTGTTCTTAAGATTGGTTTTGTCTCTTTCTTCAACTTTTCAACTTTCCTGCTCTTAGTCATTGCCAAATCTTGTTGTTATCTCCTTTGCCTGTTTTTTTTTTTTAAGTGCACTGGCTATGTTAATGCTTCACCTTGCCATGCCTCTTTTCTGTTCTTCATTGTGGCTTTCTTGTGGGCCAGTTTGGTCTTTCCAGTATACACTAGGCCTTCCTGGTATACTAGCTTCAGTGCATCTTCTTGACTGTCATTTTGGTATTCTTCCAATTTCTTTTTCTTTCTTCTTCAACTGTCTGGTGTACTTGCAACATTTCACACACACCTATTTTTCTTGGTAAGTAGAGTCTATCAACTTTGCTGCATGCATGTAAGGCGTGTAAAGTTTCATTTTTCTGGTTTCCTAGCCAGGGCTTTTAATTTCGCTTTAGTCCAGTCAACTATTCCAGCAGTGTATCTAATGACTAGAATCACCCAGGTGTTAGTTGCCTTGATGGTATTTCCACCTTTGAGTTTGGACATTAAAGTCTTTTTTACTCTTAGGATGTATTCACAACCAATTTCTTCAAGAGTTCAGTGTGCTTAATAGCAGCCTGATGATGCTTAGGTATTTGTAGTGATTGTCTTCATCCAGACTCTTGATGTTATTTCTACAGAGGCATCTTGATTTCCTTCAGATTGCAGTATTTTCACCTGTTAATGCTGAAGATGGCACATTTGTCCAGTCCAAACTCCATTGCAATATTTTGGCTGTATGTACAGACACTGTTTCTATTTCAGATCAGGGGTGAAATGCTCCCGGTTCGGACCAGCTCGGGCAAGTAGGTAGCGATGGTGGCGGGCAGTTCAGAGAACCGGTAGCAAAAATCCCTGTCCCCGCCCCCCATGCCTATCTGAGCCGCGCGATCATCAGAGCCTTTTTTTTCTGTTAAATGTCTCTGACCAGCCAAGCTCTGACGATCCCAGCTGAGTTGCCTGCTAATCAGGCAACTCAGCTTGGATCGTCAGACCCATTTAAAAGAAAAAAAGTTTTTTTCCCCCAAGCTCTGACGATCTCAGCCTGCTAATCGGTAGCAAAAATCCCTCCCCCTCCCCCCCTCAGCTTGCTTACCTTAGCTGCTGGTCACAACGCCTTCCTGTAATCCCTGCAATCCATTGCATCAGCAAGCAACTGAATCTCCTTGCCTGCAATCAAGCAGGCAGGGAGTTGTGGACTTCAACTCCCAGAATTCCTCAGCCAGAAAAGCAAAGCTGGCTGATGAATTCTGGGAGTTGAAGTCCACAAGTCTTAAAGTTGCCAAGGTTGGAGACCCCTGTTCTATTGGGCAAGTTTTTTTCCCCTTTGGGAGCTTTAAAAAAATAGTTAATTGGGGTTTTTTTTAGTTGTTCTTTTTTTAGACCTAGCCATTTAAAGTTTAGGAAGTTCTAAATTTAGCTGCTTTTATATAAAAATAAAAATAAATAAAAATAAAATAATATTTGTGCAGCTTTCTGAGATTTAGTGTGTTTCTGTAGTGTTTCACTCTAACTACACAAACACACAAAATCTCATGAAGCTATATGTGGAATTTTGTGTGTGTAAAGTGTGAAAGTTGGTTTTTTTGGCTTTTTGTGGCTGTGTGAGGTTCCTGCTTGTTGCAGGGGCCATTTTGGGTCTAGCACAGCTGCTTTTACATTGTGGGTGAGCCAGTTGTGTTGTGTTGTGTTTTGTAGGTTAAAAAAGGGCGAAGAAGTGACATTGACTTGGCCACGCCCACCTGACCAACAAGCCAAGCCCTCCCAGTCACCTTACCACCAAGCCCCACCCACTAATTAAGCCCCGCCCACAGAACCGGTAGCAAAAAAAATTAGATTTCACCCCTGTTTCAGATGGTATTTTTCTATACAGGTTCAGATCAACCATGTAACGGATATGGGTTAGCCTGCTAAATGTTTTTAATATTTGATAGCCACGGTTAATGATGTCGTATACAACTCACTAAAGGTTATGACTTTCATTAAATGTTTTAATTGAAAAGAATGCTATAAAACTCATTCTGATTTTGAGGTACCATAGATTAATGCAATTCTGTTACCATCACCAGACCAGCAATCAAGCAGTAAACAATATGCCAATCAAAGAACTACCAACTCAGACAAACAACCGAACAGTAAACTATAACCTAATCAAGGAACTACCAAGAACAAAACAACAGTCCTGCCAACACTGATAGGCATTCCCCTCCTGCATTGGCTTTTCCCCAAAGATCTGAATATTCTTTGTTTTTCCTGGAATCCTAGAATTAGAATTAGAATTCTTTATTGGCCAAGTGTGATTAGACACACAAGGAATTTGTTTCCGGTGCATAAGCTCTCAGTGTACATACAACAATAGTGATAGATCATTATCATAGACAGTCAATATTAATCGGTGCCTGTCATCATTTCCCAACCTGATGTCCTCCAGATACATCAAGATGAGTAGCCTCAGATCACCCCAACATACAGTGGTGATGCTTCCTTGGAAAACAGACCCAGTGAGTTTGGAGGACACCAAGCTGGGGAAGACTAAAGTAGAATGAACTACCGGTAAATAGACAATGTTTTTTCTTGCTCATTTCCTGCCTGTGTGGTGGTGGGGATTTCCAGAAATCATGAAAAATCCTGATATAGAGGAAAAAACACTAATGATTTTTTTTCAGGGGGGATTGGGTTTGAGTCAGTGTTGACTCTTCATAACTGTTTGGATTAAGCCTTACAGGTGTTTTTTGCCAAGATTTCAGAAGTTGTTTGCCATTGCCTTCTTCCTAGGGCTGAGAGAGAGTGACTGGCCCAAGGTCACCCAGTTGGCTTTGTACCTAAGGTTGGATGAGAATTCATGGAATTCCGGTTTTACCCTGGTACTTTAACAACAGTGCACCAAAATTGCTTTTTAGCATCAGGCTTACAAAAGATACTGCAGAGAACCAAGTGCCAAACTGATAGAGAATGCTGCACTGAGGATCCGCAAAAGCCTTGCTTTTCAGCATTTGCAACAAGGGGTGTTTTTAGGAAACTTCAGAGGAAAGGCTTTCCTGAAGTTCTGAGCAAACTAGACTAAAGTGGAAAAGAAGTTAAGATGACAAAGACTGTGCAAGCAGATGAATGATTACCGGAGCAAAAATTGCTTCTACAATACATACTCCGGGGAAAGAAAAAAAACCCAGTAACAACAGTAGAATACTTGCAGGCAGCCACTATTCAAAGCCTGCTTGATGTGAAAGCAATTTCAGTAGTAGGAAAACAGCTATAACTCTTTTGTGAGATTACCAGAAAGAGTAATGAGAAAAGTGTTGTAGGTAGAAACTCCATTATATGAACCTCAATTATCCAACTCTTCTGATTATCAAAATTCTAGTTTTGTATCCTTCACTGATCAGATGAGCAGGGACACTGTGGACAGAATTTTCTGTTGCTATTTTACCTAGACAGCCCTATAAGATTATTGCTCGTTCTATTTCCAGTAGTTCTAAACTTGAGCGCTGCAATCATTTTTGCACAGATCCTTAGTCATCTCCCACTACAATCCTGAAATATCAAATCCCAAAAGGAAAAGGGAAAGGAAAACCTAAATGAAAGAAAAAATGAGAAAAATGCCACAGGAAGCTAAATAATAAACATCAAAAATCTTACAATATTAAATTAGGATTAAACCCCTAAGGCCTCCAGAGTAGCATTCCAGAAACGTCAGGCCCTCTGAAAATAGAGAGATTGTTCTGTCCACATAAGTAGAATTTCAATTTCAATTTCAAACCTTTATTGTCAATGCACAACATGTGTACAATGAGATGGGCTGAGCCTCCCTTAGTGCAACACCCCCCCAATACAATACATCTTAATAACTCACAGTGAAAGAAAGAAAATCCCTAATCCAGTAAATCATACTAACAAACACACAATCCTCTATACATATATGTGCATAACATTACATTATAATATATTGCGCCAATATGAGCATGTTGCATGTTGCGCCGGCCCTGAAAGTCTATCATACCACATACTTATGATATTATGTGGCATTCAGGAGTCTGACAGCCCATGGATAAAAGCTGTTTTTCAGCCTGTTCATATAACTATGTCCTAGCGATTTCATCTAGTGGTGTCAGGGGACAGCACATGATGTTTTGTGCCATCCTCATCACCCTTTGTAGTTGTCTTTCTATCCGTGGTTGTCAAGCCAACATACCATACCATAATGCAATCAGTGAGGACGCTTTCTATTGTGGACTGGTAAAAGGAGGTCATCAGTTGTTGTTCCACCTTGTTCTTCCGCAAGACCCTGAGGAAGTGGAGTCTCTGTTGGGCCCTCCTGGCCATCTGGATTGTGTTATTTTTCCAGGTGAGATCTTCGCTAAGATGAACTCCTAGGAATTTGAAGGAGGGGACTCTCTCCACACAGCCCCCCTCGATGTCAAGTGGGGCAGGTTCCTCTCTTTTCTTCCGGAAGTCTAGCACCATCTCCTTTGTCTTGCTGATGTTCAGATGCAAGTTGTTTTCTGAGCACTAGAAACTGCAACTGAGCAGTTGTTTTCTGTGGATAATTTTTGAATTGGAGATAAGATTGCTGGGATTTGGAGAGAGTCGGGAGATCAAAAAGATTATGGATGCTATTATTCCATTCCATCTGATCCCCAGACATGGTATCAGTTTTAGCCAATTAAAACATTGCTTCAAAATTACAGAGATGGAAAGGGCTATTTAGGCCATCCATTTTCAAGGCAAGAATCCAAAATAAAGTAGCAAATGTTTGTCAGATAATACCATTAGAGTCAAACATATTCAAAACCAATGATGGAGAAGGAACTGATCAGGTTTAAAAGTCTTCTACGGTTGCTTGAAAAGCTGGACCAGATTTCTGTAACTATATTTGCATAAACTATATTTGCATAAACTATATTTGCATAATCAAGGCCAGGGCTCCCAAGAACATCTTCTTCTGAGTCTAAAATGTCATTATCTATTTAGATGAGAAATTCTGCAAAGAGAAAAGAGAAAAAGCAGGGTGAATACTTGTCTTTGTACAAGAAGAAGTAATATGCATAAGTTTCATTTTACCTTGTTAAATTATTCACGTAAACGCCGATGCTTTAACTTCCTTCCTTCCTTCCTCCCCTCTTCCTTCCTCCCCCCTTCCTTCCTTCCTTCCTTCCTTCCTTCCTTCCTTCCTTCCTTCCTTCCTTCCTTCCATGGGATGTTCCCATTGCACAGCCATTTTCCTCCATTCAGAAAGTCCTGTTCAGTCATAAAAGCATCACAGTTCAGACTATCCTGCTCCACAATTTCCTTTCAATCTTATAGAAATGACTGACAAATCTACTCTGCATTCCTGAAGCTAAATAGTGGTAGTGGTGGAATGGTGGAAACAACTTCAACAACATTTCAGGATGATTTTTAATATCACCAAATGCACCTTGATATACCGTCTAACATATTTCTCTATCAAAATCACATTGTCTAGATCATTACACACCAGTGGTGAAATCCAATTTTTTTTACTACCGGTTCTGTGGGCGTGACTTGGTAGGCATGGTGTAGCTTGGTGGGCATGGCTTGGTGGGCATGGCAGGGGAAGGATACTGCAAAATCTCCATTCCCACCCCACTCCAGGGGAAGGATACTGCAAAATCCCCATTCCCTCTCCACTCCTGGGGGAAATATATTGCAAAATCTCCATTCTCTCCCCACTCTGGGGCCAATCAGAGGTGGTATTTGCTGGTTCTCCGAACTACTCAAAATTTCCACTACTGGTTCTCCGAACTGCTCAAAATTTCCACTACTGGTTCTCCAGAACCTGTCAGAACCTGCTGGATTTCACCCCTGACACACACACATTTAAATATTGCAAATGTCATGGCTCTAGGAATGGCTTGATAACTTGTATTAAGATCTCAGACTACATGAGAAATGATAGATAGATAGAATTCTTAATTGGCCAAGTGTGATTGGACACACAAGTAATTTGTCTTGGTGCATACTCTCTCAGTGTACATAAAGGAAAAGATACATTCATCAAGAATCATAAGGTACAACACTTAATGATAGTCATAGGGAACAAATAAGCAATCAAATCATATTCGCAAACAGTCAATATAAATTGTAAGGATACCAGCAACAAGGTTACAGTCATACAGTCATAAGTGGGAGGAGATGGGTGATAGGAACGATGAGAAGAGGAACGATGATACCACAATATTCAACTTTACCAATACAGAAGAAGCAATGGGATTCGTTCTTTTTTCCAATTCTGCTTTCTCCATGAGTTCAGGATAAAGTAGTAAATTATCTTAGTATGTGATATTTTATGGTCAATATTAAATAAGCTTAACAACGTTTATTCTTCTATTCTGTAAACATTTGAGAATAATTAAAAGCAAATCTCTATAAGCTGTTGGATATTGAGTATCTATAGCAGCATAATTTGCCTTTTATATTAACTTTTTTATTTGTCTGCATGGCAGTATTACTGCATCCTAGAACAACCCATTTGTGCAACAACAACAACAACAACACAGGAAGAACACACACATATACACACACTCCAAAAAATCAAAAAGTCCCAGAAATACAGTGATGGGTAGTTCAAGGTCCTCCCATACTTTGCTGGCTCTGACATGAAAATAGATTAGTGGATGAATGTTCCTCCATTTGCCAACCTTCATATATGCTTAATACCTACGCATTTGTTCAATGTGTAGAAGAAAGTAGGTTTGGATTTCTCAAATGATCCAGGACCCTAATTCAGGAACATTCTGAACTGTTTTTCAGAAGGTCTGGTGATTTTTACACTAACTAAATAATGGCCGCTTTGACTGGGGAGGGGCTCTCAGGACTAATCTAAAGAAAAGAAGAATTAGGGCTGACATGATAGCAGTATTCCAATATTTGAAGGGCTGACACAAAGAAGAGGGGGTCAAATTATCCTACAAAGCACCAGAAGGCAAGACAAGAAACAATGGATGGAAACTAATCAAAGAGAGAAGCCACCTGGAATTAAGGAGAAACTTCCTAACAGTGAGGATAATTAACCAGTGGAACAGCTTGCCTTCAGAGGGTGTTTCATCATTGGAGGTTTTTAAGAAGAGACTGGAGAGTCACTTATCTGAAATCGTATAGGTTTTCCTGCTTGAGCAGGGGGCTGGATTAGAAGACCTCCAAGGTCCCTTCCAGCTCCATTCTATTCTAAAAAGGCTCTCTTAAGCTTAGTCTTCAAAACTGATTTCTTTCTCTTTTTTTAGGGAGGTACTGGAGACTCTGTAGGATTGTGGCATTAAATACAAAGTTCTGCTCCCTCACAAATGGCATCGCTCCCTATTTATCATTTGGACATCTTCAGAATGCATGACTGGCAGCTTGTGCACATTTCAATGGTCAAAATATCTCCTTGGCTTGCAGCCAAAAGAATCCATAGTAGTGATAGAAAGCATTTTCTCCGTGGGGAAGGGGGGATTTCCATTTTCCAAATAAAGAACATCCTTAGATTCCATCTCATTCTTCCAAATGGACGAAGGTGAAATGTTAGCAATACATATTTGTTTAAATGTCCCGTGCAATACTTTGACACAAGAAAGGAGAGTAGTCTCTAATCCTTTCCTAATCAGCACTTTCATGTTTATTTCAAAGAAGCCTCTTCCATTCAAATAAGCATGTAACATTTAACATCATGTGCCTAGTTTACAATTTAAACTTGACTACTTCTTGTTTCAATCAAGTTTTAATACATTCTCGTGTCACAAACAAAGGCCATTGGTATTATTATAAGAATTTCCCTTACTTTTTATCTTCTGAAGCCCACCCAATCTGCTCTAGAAAGTTTCTTGGTAGATTGAAGGGAAAACACAGAATGCTTTGGGGAATCCATTCTGCTAGCTATGTTCACTTCACGGATGAACAGTCTTAGTGGGATATAATCCACTGTTGAGCAATTGTTCCTGAAATCAGTCTAGTGAATTATGTTGGTATAACATCAAAGACATGCCCAAGTGTTGCCTGTAGAACTGATCTTGAACTGCAAGATTCAAGTTAAACTAAAGAAGAGGAAAATCAACCAGTTTCTACAATATGATCAGCATTTGAGTTTGTTAGGGATATTGGTGTTGTGTTACCAACCAGCAGAGTAAATGCACAAGGAAACGTTGCTGAGAGCAATGAATAAGAGTTATGCAAACTGGTTTATCAAAAGCTTACTTTATAGTAGAAAAACAGTCTCATAGTCTTTAAACAAATTCCAAGTCTTTGCCATTTAAATCAGTCCAGTAGTTACAGAATCTTCTTACCCAACAAACAGTAGTTGGTTAGAATATCAAACTCACTCTGGTTCACAAACCATGATGATAGCAGATAGCAACTCCTCACTATGGCAGCATATCATACTCTGGTAGCATATCACATCAGCTTCATACACAATGGCAGCATATCATAGCAGCAACTGAACACGTTGCAATACCTTGCTTAAATACTCTCACAACCAGTCATTACCTAATTACAGCATGACTCAGCATTAAAGCCTTAAAGTTACACAATAGATATTTATATTAAAGTCACAGAACACATATATTGCCTGGACAACTTGTTAGGCTCAAACCATATCCTAACAGAGTTGAAGCCCTGGACCTCATTTATAGAGAACTAGAGGAGCTACGGAATGAATTTAAAGAGGTTGTTAAGCATGAATGTTAAAAGAGACTGCTTAAGAAAAGAAACAGAAGAAAGCAAACTCGATATCAGAATAAACCTTGGAAATTGCCAAGAAGGGAAGAGAAGCCAAGAGAGACAAAACTCTCAGGAAAGAATTTGTGAAAGCCTTTCAGAGTTAGGAGAGACATAGAGAAACAAGGAAAGTCTTCCAAAAGTTCTCTAAATTCAGAAGGAGGTGCCAACCTCACATTTGTATGTAAAAAGATGCCAACTGATTCAAATAAGATTAAAGGAAGATAGACAGGGCATCCTGAAATGCTGTACAGAGGAAGATGATCAGCAGCTGCTACATGAACAGTGATAATTCACTGGAGTGATAATTCATGGGGTCAATCTTTGCAGAAGCAATCACTACAAAAATGTATATTACGTTGCTCAGAGGATGCTGGAGGGAAGCCTTTCAAAAGATGCATTGCTGCTCCGGGTAGAAAGGGGCATGGAAGAACTCCATGGACAATTTCAGTAATTGCACGAAGAATAACAATTGCTAATTGGGGGAATAACTGTGATCCAATCCTAATTCAGAAAATAGGATATTTCCTCTTGTTCTTCATGCTGCACCTTTATTTAATATTGCTAAAGCCTGCATCACAGTGCGCTTAACCTTAGAGCAAGGGTTTCCAAGCCCCAGTCTGTGGACTGGCACCAGGCCATAGCATGCCAGAAACCTGGCCACACAAACAAGTGAAGCTCCATCTGTGGGATGCAGACATCAGCAAAACCATACCCTCTCTGGTCTGTGGAAAAACCTCTCTCTGATTAACCCGTATATGGTGCCCAAAAGGTTAGGGGTCGCTGCCTTAAAGAGACTAGGAGAAAGAGAATTTCATCCTGGTATTTAGGGGATATTTTTGATGTAATCCATCTTTTTCCTGACAATACTTTGGAAATCAGCTGCACTTTCCATGTAATATTGCAGTTATGATTCACTGACATTATGGTGAAAACAGTCAACTGTTTTAAAAAGTTACTCATTTTATTCTGTTTTTCACTTGAGCAATGTACATCTGGTCATTTTAGTTTAGGTCTTATGTTTCCTATTAAAATCCAGGAAGAAGGAGAATTCTCTAATTTACATATACTAAATACATAAATTCCTAAATTCTCATCAACAGAGTCTCAGAAATATCTGAAAAATATGGCTTGAAACTTAAAACCTCAAAAACCAAGATCATGGTCATGGTCATCAGCAAACAAGCCATTAATTTACCACTGATAAATTTGGAAGGAATACCATTAGAAAAAGTTGAAATGATCACGTACCTCGGTTTTAATTTACATGAAAGATGGGACATGATCAGTGAAGTAAAGACAAGGATAGAGAAAGCTCGAACAGCATTCTTCAAAATGAAAAAGGTCTTCTGCAGTTACAACATAAGCCTAAAACTGAAAATCAGGCTTGTCAGATGTTACATCTTTTCTATCCTGCTCTATGGAGTAGAGAGTTGGTCCCTGACAGAAAAGCATTTGAAGAAACTAGAAGCATTTGAAATGTGGATTTACAGACGATTGTTACGTATAAACTGGGTTAACAAAATCACAAATGAGGAGGTGATAAGCCACCTGGGAAAGCAAAGGGAAATAATTAAAGCCATGAAAAAGTGAAAGTTAGAATATTTTGGACATGTGATGCGACACCCAGAAAAATACGGCATATCACTTAATCTTCCAAGGAAAGATTGAAGGCAAACGAGGTCCAGGCAGAAAAAGAACACCATGGCTTCAAAATCTAAGGGACTGGTTTGGACAAAACTCAGCAGCACTTTTTCATACGGCTGTTGACAAAAATAGGATTGCCAACAAGATCATCAACGTCCAATGACAGATATGGCACAAGAAGAAGAAATACATAGGATTTGTTGTTTGTTTGTTTGTTTGTTTGTTGAATTCATACTCTGTCATAATCAATGAACTCTCAGTGGCTTTCACTGAATACAATCAAATAATAATTTAAACATCTATGCAAAATGCCAAAACAAATCGCAGTACATAAAAGGGAAAGACATAATAAAAATAATACACAAACAAAGTCAACAAAATATTAAAAGTGTTATCCAGAATAATTCTGATTTTAATAGCTTCCTAAAGGCCAATAGGGAGCGTCACTCAATTGTGTGAATCTGATACAATATAAAACTGATATACTGATACGATATAAAACCCAGGTTTACAATTTCATTGAAAGCTAGATCTGATTATATTTAAAGCATTCACAATTCAATTCTGTCCTCAAATGCAAGTGGGCATTATTCCAAAGTAAATAAATATAGGATTATATATTTGACTGTGATCCTATATACTTTTATCAGGAAGTACGTCTCAAAAAGAGCCACTTATTTCTATGCATGCCTAAAATGAATTTGTGAACAGAATCTCTCAAAGGAAAGACTATCGGCGTATAACAAAACATAATGTAAATCCTATTTCTTTAATAATATTCCTGCATTCTGAAATCAAAACTGATTCATCATCCATTTGAACTCAGGCTACCTACTTTAGGCTCACAGAGTTGATAACAATCACAAAATGCAATTTGTCTTCATAAATGTATTATTATTTAATCATATGAAAGTTTGGTTCTATCTTGGGCAAATATTTATAGTAGCTTTAATACACAGGAGCCATTCCTGACAGATATGATGAAACAGATTTATCACTCTTGACAAATTATATTGCAAAATGTCTTCTCTTGACTGCCCACAGAAGAAAAGGCACGAAGGAATTCAACAGGAATGTCACCTGTGATTCTTTTGTTTTTTAACCTTTTACCGTGGCAATCAAAAATCCCTTTTGGTAGGAACTCTGCCACAGTTAGTCTGGGAACTGGTTATAAGGGTAATTGTGTGAATGAAGAAAACCTGTAGCCCTTTAAATCAAACTAAGTAGTGTTTTATTAAAGTGCCCAGCAAATCAATCTAAATCCAAGGATAATAAAGCTCTAATCAGGTAGTAGAAAAAAAAATAATAGGTTGTCATGCATGAGGAAAAATAGGCAATCATGGAATGTTTTCTTTAATTAGGTCATGTAAAGTGGAGAGATTGAGTAGGAACTGGCAAGACATTCATCATGGGCAAGGTGGGAAATTATTTAGATTACAGATGAAAGAAAATTGAATGTGATACTCTAAGATTTGATTGGACAGAAAATTAAAGATTTGTCTCTCCCCCCCTCCTCCCCCATTATTCATATCCCTTGCTTTTGGTACTTATTGACAGGTTGTTCAACAAAATGATTCCAATCTCATTTTTGGATGTCTCACAGTGTCATACAGTACTTACTGCACGTCCTAGCCTGAGTTTATTTAATCTTGCTAGATCCAGAAAAGGCCATCTATTCCAGTCTCCTTCTTCCAATAGTTGCCCTCCAGGGGCCTTGGGAAAGTCACTAGTAGGCTGTAAAGAAGGTGACAACTTTCTTTTGTTGTTTGCCTCTAGCTATCATGCTACTGTAGCATCCTGCCTCTGAACAAGAGCCATGGTGCCACAGTGGTTAGAATGCAATATTGCATTCTGCCAACTGCCAGCAGTTCGATTCTCATCGGCTCAAGGTTGACTCAGCCTTCCATCCTTCTCAGGTGGGTAAAACGAGGACCCAAATTGTTAGGGGCAATATGCTGACTCTGTAACCCACTTAGAGAGGGCTGTAAAGCACTGTGGAGTTGTATATAAGTCTAAGTGTTATTGCTAGTGCTATTGCTATCCACTGCATTACTATTTTGAATACCCATGAACTGCCTTTCATCATGAATTAATCTAAGCCAATGATCTTCACCACAATATTATT